GGTTAGGCGTGTGATGCCCATTAGCACGTGAACCTCCAGTGGGTGAATCACCACAACGGGGACTAGCTTGCCGACATGCAAGTGAACCTCGGTGAAAAATCATCGTGTCATCTTGTCTCCGAGGAATTCCTTGGTATTCATTGTGATTAATCTCTTGCTGGCTCAGTATATCCATTCCTAGCACTTGTATTTACTCTCCTATTTACTTGTGTAGTGCTAGTTGTAGTTAGTGAGTAGTGTAGTTTAATTAGTTGTAATTACTCTTGCTAGGTTGCTCACTAGTGGTAGAATTAGTGACATAGCCATTGAGTGTTACTAGAGATCATAACATACTAGACTTGTGGATAGGTGGCTTGCAACACTTGTAATGCTAGCGCAAAACTCGCTTCGCCATTTAGTTGTCTAACCTATTGTCTTAGTGTTGTTGTAGAAAATTTTTATAGGCTATTCACCCCCCCCCTCTAGCCATTTAGGACCTTTCAGCTACGCACGTTCTCCCGTCGCCTGGGCCAGAGCAACACCGCGGAGTGGGAAGCGTCTGGCCTAGCAACGACGTCACAGAGCAAGCTCTTGATGAGTGCGACAACCTCAATGCGTCAACCGGTGGCGCGTGCAGCGAACCGGGACAAAAAGAAGAGCTCCATGGCGAGGAACCGGTGGACGTACCCAAGCCTTTCCCCAGCCAGGAGCCGTGACCTCCAGGTAGTTATTGACAATGGTGTACATGAGGGCATGGTCATGCGCGAACCGCTCACACATGGCCTCCACGGCCACTAGGAACTCCTCCACGGGTAGCGTGGACACCGCGGCTGTAATTGGTGGCCACCTCATGGTAGAAGTAGTCCTCCATGGCGTGGTCCAGGCCGTAGGGGGTTCCGCCCCGTGCCCAGTTGCAACCAGCCCGCCACCGCCCACACCATGGCGAGGCTAACTTGGGATAGTGCCGCTACTGCATCGTCAGAGCCATAGCAGGTAGCGGAGGCCTGCACGACGGATCCGGTTGTGGTAGAGGCCTGGTCGCACGCCTTCGTGGCACCTGGGGTCGCGCCGTGCTTGTACGCTCAACGGCCGATGCGCTCATTTGCACGCAGCAAGCTATGCCCGCCGGCCCTGGCAGCGCTGGATCTGGGATGGGGTCACCAGATCCGGGCTCAGAGGACTCGGATTCGATGCTTCTTGCTCGTTGCCGGCCATCCAGGCTGCCGAAAAGATGAGAGCTCGAATGGGGAGGAGGAGAGGGGGAAAGGAGGGAGGAGATAGAAGTTGCTATGGGGTGGCCTTTTTGGGCGCCGCCACCGCTAGCTGGAGAGCGGCAGCGACGGGTGGGGAAAAGTGGGCGGCGATTACGTTCTTCTTCAGTCGCTTGTATAGATGACGCGGGGGGGGGGTGGCTTCACCTTTTATACATAAGTGGAATAGGTAGGAGAGAAGCATGGGCGAAGCGCATGATAAATATGGCTATCGGGGTTGGTACTTACAGGACTAACTCATTGGTTGCATAATAAAATACCCTGCATAACATCAAACTGGTAAAATAACAACCGGATATTATAAAAAAAAACTTTGACTACAGTAGTTACCTCACATGTTGATTGGAATTGTGGCTAGAAATCCTTTATCTACGAAGCTTATGATACAATCATTCATAAATCCGTCCCCAATATGATTTCTCGGTATTGTTTTCATTTACAATTTTAATTGATGAAAAGCACATCTCCAACGATGCAGTGGAGATAGGAAGAACTAGTACTAGCTTGAGACGACGATAAGGTGGTGGCTTACAAGGACCTCTAGTCAAATGCTTTCGCCACGCCTTATGTCATCCTGTAGCTTTTCGCCTATGTAATATTGTACTTTCATTCTATCTGATGGATCATATGGAAGCTCATCGAAATTTACCTCTTATCATGAGATCTGCGAAGTGCGCTAAATAGTATGATTAGTATTTGATGTAGGCCCCGTTCGTTTGGATGAAATTGGCTGAAAAAACAAGCCAAAGCTGAATTGTTGTGAGAGAAAATACTGTTCCGGCTAAAGAAAAAAAAAAGCCGAACAAGCCGCCTTTTAAGGTAAGCCGAACGGGGCCGTAGTGCCATCGCCATCTATTTTTGTTCTTGATGTGTCTCCATCATTATTCTCATCAGTATCACAGGCTGTTGGTAATTTTCTTTTACAGAATAATCCTTCCAATGTACTTTGGTTTCCTATCAAATTAGTCACATAATAAAAAAAAGACTAAAGTAGATATAATTACTAATGTGCAAGCAGCCATGCCCATGCATATACTGTTAAAAGTCACTACTGAAATACAACTCTACAAAAACTCCAAGACCTCACAATTTACACTTTATTGACAATTAAAATTATAAAATTGGGTATTTGGGGTACCTGAGTCCTGGACAGCAGATGAGCAGAGAGCTTCTCGCCGACGGCCACTGGCAAGTCGTCGCGAACGAAGGAGCGGCCCCTGGATGCCACCAGGAGGATTTGCGATTGCGATGCGAGAACATGGGGATTCCATCCAAGATGGCCTGCTCCTAGCTAGCCTACTACAACTAGTGCAAATTTGTGCATACAACATGCAAGAACCATGAGTTGGTTAGCAGCTGGGCAAAGCAGAAACATCTCTTTTCCAGAGATGACGTCAAGGGGCAAACTCCCGGTCCCCATCGATGAAAGAATCACCATTGTTAACGAAATCCTGCAGAAAGAAAACCAGTTCAGTTAGATAAACATCATATAAGTAGTAGTCATCAATTCCACATGCAAAGCCAGATAGCATAGACGGAGTAAATTTAAAATAAGCTAGCAATTTAACACGTCTTATAGTCAAGTTATGCATGAACAAGCATGATGAGCAATGCACTGAGTACTAACAACTAGAAGTGATTAAACTAACATCAGTTAGGTAAATTCCTCATGTGTTAATTTACTTTTGCACAAAAATGCAAAATGGAATTCAATGAACATCAGGACAGAGACAGATTTTATGCATAAAAAGGTGGAGAAAGGACCTTACTTGATTAAAGTAAGCAAGGAAATCATCCACGTCATCGCTCTCCCCATTCTGTGCCTCACTTGTTCCCATGAGGAAGTCATTGATGTTATTCATTTGGTCACTAACAGCTTGCTGATTAACAGTGCTACCTACAAGGAGGTTGTCACTTGCACCACCGCCATTCAGCACCTGGGTCTCCATGACAGAATTGTCTATCTGAAGGTCAGGACTGGTGCTTGAAGAACTAGGCAAAGCAGAATTGCCAATCGGCGTCGCTGTAGAGTGTGTGTTGTTTCCAAAACTGAATGCTGCCACCTCCTCTCTGAAGCCTACCATTGGTACGGTGTGCCCCATGATTCCTGCAATTTTCCTCTGGTACTCATTTCTGAAAGTTGGAATCTGTCCAGAGGAGCCTGCAAATCTTGACAACTGGTTGATCTTGAAAATGTTACCCTGCGAATGATCTTCAGACGTTCCAATATTATGACCAAGATCAGAAAACCTTGACGGCGACGCAGCTATCCAGGAGTCGCTAGGTCCTGCAATTTGGTGAACTTCGCTGGCAACCTTGTTAAATTGCTCAGTAGAACATGACTGAAGCTGAACCGAAGACTGGTTCACCAAGTCAGGAGACTGCAATGGTAAATGACCAGAAGGAGCCAACATCTCACCATCTGATATGTCTTCGAAAGGAATACCTCTTATTGACCCCGAAATCATGACACACAATATCCTCGCATAGGAGCTGCAGGAACGAGACGAAGAAAAGGACATGTTCGAGGTCAATGGTGGACTGTCATTTGAGATATTTGCAAATGAACTCCCAGAAATATCAGCATAGAAAGCTTTGCTTGCGTTCAACACCACACCATTTGAACTATTTGCAAAGGAGCTGCCAGAAGGACCAGAACGGAAGCACTGGCTTGCACCTGGCAGCCCACCACTCAATACAGGTGCGTAGGACTTGCCAGAAGTGTTGAATCTGCTGATATCCTGCACTGGCATAGGCACAACATCTTTGGGCAGGTTGACACTGTAACCAACTGGTTCCATGTTTGACGGAGGAATGCCCAAGTGGGGGGAGCTCATGACCTGAACTGACTCTGTGGGCAGCGAAGCTTGCGTTCCAATTGCAGATGAGGAATTCATCTTTGCAAAATGGTTGCTTGAGCTTGGAGAGCCAATGAAGGATGGGACATTCATGTTTCTCCACAGTGCTTCAGTTTCATCAGCAAATGGATTAGAATTCCTCAGTGTGCCCTCGTTGAGCTTTCTGAGGAAGATTCGGTACTTCTGAAATCACAAAATAGACAAGTAGATTTTTATTAAGAAAAAAAATGACAAAGCCCTAAAATGAGTGAAGTGGGCTCTTAATCATGGGGTGAAACAAAAGAAATTCAGGAGAGAGAAAAACTAACTCCAGAAGTGCAAATGTGTGTAACATACCAAACTCAGTACATGTGTGTATGCCACTAGAGCTTTGTGTGGGGCAGACACATGTTCTGGTTGAATTGTTGAAGTGTCAGACACACAAATTCCATTGACATAAACACAATATTGAGTTTGAGATGGAAATTGTGCAGAAACAAGTTCTATCCAAATATCTTTAACAATAATCTAGTGGATGGGAACACAAGCATAGTGATTGAGCATAAGAGTAGAACCAAACCTACAGATGACTGGCGACATTCTCTCTAGTAAGGCTTTCCACATTCATGACTTCTAATATGTTCTTAGGAACAGCCCCTGCATTTACAGCAATAAAATATTTGTTAAGTGAATCAGATTTAACAAAAGAATTATTGATAGATAAAGCCATGAAATGTGAGAACTTACTGTCTATGCCAATCTGTTGGACAGCTTGTAGAAATTTCTGGTGTAGTTGACCACACCACTGGACCCTTTGCTTCTTTTGGGTTGATGTGTTCTCGTTGTCCTCATTAGCAACATCCACAACCTTTTTGTTTTTCCTTGAATACTTCTTGGTGTGGTTTGCTCTAACGTTCTCAACTTTATCACCATCCCCAGATCTGATGTTGTTCCGTGGATCAGTCTTACTGTTCTTCACCACATGTGTCCATATGCCCCTAACCTGTTCGACACGCGCTGGCTTTACCATATAATCACAGGCTCCATGCTTTATCCCTTTCATTATAGTCTGTGTCTCACTGTTTGCGGATAGCACTGCATGACATAAGGCAATATAAGTCAATTATGATATACAGAAATCAACAAGCTCAATAGACTAGACATTGAATGATCTAGTGGCCTTCATGTTCAGTTGACTAAGCACATTTTTCAAATTCCGTTTTCTTTAGGCATTACATGTGTCATTTACATTCATTTTTAAGCAAATATGTCATACACATAGTAAATGCAATTCTTTATCAGTTCCGATCCAAATTGTAGTAAACAAAAGTTAGATGAAATCTGAAATTTTGAATTTCTAAATGGTTCACTAATATGCCTCCTACTTTGCATTTTCAACTTAGCCATAGGCTGATAGGCCACAACCTAGTGGACATGCTTCATGTCATGGGTAGTCAGCTGAGCCTATTGGGCTGGGTTCGGTAATGTGGCCCATTAATCTTAGGGTTAATTAGAGATAAGGGGCAAGGGGGATTGTGGGAGCAGCGGGGATCGGAATGCAGGTGACTGCAAAGAGGTGTTCATCCTTGCAATGTGGAATTTCCCTCGCATTAATTCCTGCCTTCAGTTACCTTGTGCTTCCACGGCGATGGATGGAAAACCAGACTTGCTCAGACAGTTTCTCGATGGATGGAAAACCAGCCAAACCACCCTAGAATCGCCCACGGTTTAAGCCCATGGGGCTTCTAGGTCTGCAGCTGGTTTGAATCATAGGGCAGTAATTTTTCCCTCTTAGATGCAAGAAAAATTAAGGAAAAGAAGAATATGGTTTAGACAATAAATCTACCCCAAGACCAATTCAACAAAGGAAAGGGTGCTTACTGCATCAGCAAAGTATATAACAACAATACAATTCCAAAAGAAAGGTAGTCCCTCTAGTTACGAAATCATGTCATTTTGGGCAAGGTTTGGTCAAAGCTTAAAAACTACAAACATTATTAACTTTTAAATTAATGAGTTTTAAGATATATAAGTTATATGTAAGAGTTTTATTCAAAACACTTGCAAAGCCTCATGAATTTGAAGAATTTTACGAAATATTCTAGAACAAATTAGAGGTTAAAGTGTTAGAGGCAGCAAATCAAGAAAGTGGCAAGATTGGCGCCCAATTGAGGGGAATCCTGGGCACACCATTAGCAGGTACTAATATAGAAGCTTAGCAAGAGTGATTGGGAGAGAATTAAGGGGTGGTTGGGCTATGTCATGGGCCTATCGACAAGGATCGTTTGCTTAGGGGTCAAGTAAGCCTCTCTATACAAGGAGAGATGTATCAATCTAATCAAGCAAGAATCAGAAGGAAAACCGTTCTCTCTTGCTTGGCCGTGGGCAAGCGCCCCCCCCTACCTTTCTCTCTCCCCCTTGCGACCATAGCAGCCACATAACATAAAGATACACATGGTCCTTTTAGGGGGGAAAAGATTGAGCCTTTTGCCTGTGTGCCATTATGAAAGATGCTCCAGCCCTACATGCCACTAAAAAGTTCGAACGCACCTATGTGCCATGACACTTTACTTTTTTGCCTCCCAAGCCATTCCATCCACTTTTCCATCTAACGGTGTCAATATGCGCCGGAAAAAGTCCCAAATGCCCTCACCTCGCTTCTTCACCGTGCGCTTCTTTGTTCATCTACCACAACACCTCGTGCATCTACGACGGTGGTTGAGAGGCGGCCGGCCAGCCGGGCTCATGACCGTGGGGCTGTAGCGCTCGCTCCCGTGACCTATGCACCCGCGGTTGCCTCGTCGAGCGCCCCGGCAGAGCACGCCTGCTGGCCTGGGCTGCCGCCTCCTGCGCCCCAGCTGAGCTCGCAGCGACCGCCGTCTCCTGTGCCTGGCGGAGCTCATCATAGCCACGGTCTCCTACACCTCGGTCAAGCTCATCCCGCCCTCAGCGTTCCTCTCTAGAGTCGGGCGCCTACTTCAAGGGCTCGACGAGTCCGCCACCATCCGCGCCCACCGTCAACCAGCCACCATTCGTGACCACCGCCGACCAGCCACCGTCCGCGCTCACCGCCAGCGGCAGCTGGCTCGACAGGGCACGGACTTCATGGTGGAGTTCGCCGGCAGCGAGAGGTGCGTGGTGTGGGCGCTAGTCGAGTGTGTTCCCTATCACGGATGTGAGGCGCCGCCGCATCAACCTCGACAAGCCCGGGATGGTGCCACATAGGACACTAGGCAGCTCTCCCTAGACTCCACACCCTGACGTCGTCACCCTGCACCGGAACGCGTCGTACACGGCGCCGCCACCTCGCCGCACGCAACCACGGCTGCCACCATGTCCCGCGACGCCGTCGTCAGAAGTGACAGTCGGCCTCCTGGCTCCTGCACCAGCGCGGCCACGCTCGCCTGCCCACCCGCCCATTGTGATCTCCGTCGCCGGCGCTGGTGGAATCGAGTAGCGCCGCCACCGCGGAAATCGCCAGCGCTGGCCTAACCCGTGTGCATGTCTGGCTCAGTCAGCGGCGTGGCCGGATCCACATGCAAGTCAGCCCCCAGCGACAAGCGCGCGGCCGAGGAGGACGATGAGGAGTCGGCGGTGGGTGACGGAGATGGAGATGACGGAGCACCATCGGACCAGGCCGTAGCCGCGGGCCTCCTCTTGAGCCCGGGCCAAGCAGCGGTGGCCTCCGCGCTGTCGTTCGCGGCCGAGGTGGCCGTGCCACTGCTCGCGACGTGGTTCATCACGGGATACAGGGCGCAGGTGGTGGTGGTCGTGGCTCGTGCGGCTCTCCGCTGCAGCTTGCCACTGTCTTCCTTGTGTGGCTGCTGGAGCTCTGCTCGAGCACGGCCAGGTGGGCGAGCTCCCCTGACCGGCGCGTGGGCGAGCTCCCGATCCCGCCCGCCGCCGGCCCTCCTCCGCCCCGCCCCGGCCAGATCTGGAGGTCTGCCGCTGCCGCCGGCCGTCCTCCACCCCGCGACGACACCCACCCCGGCTCTAGGATGCCTGCGGGCGGCCCTGTTCCACGGCGCGGTTCCCCCAGCACACGGCCAGCTCACCGGCGCGCGCCCTAGCCCCGCGCGCCTCTTTGGCCAGCCAACCACCACCGGCGCGTGGGCGAGCTCCCCTGACCACCCTCGGTCCCCTCGTGCTCTTCTTGAGGAGGAAGAAGGTGCCATGTCACTGACAGTTTGGCCCCATGAGGTAGACAGAGAAAGAAGGGAGAGGACAGAGTTATGAAAGAAGGGTATTTTAGACATCATCATAGGTCGGTCCCACATGTCAGGGCTGGCAAACGGCAGAAATCAAACAGAAGGCGGACGGAATGGCTTGGAAGGAAAAAAAATAAAGTGTCATGGCACATAGGTGCGTTCAAACTTTTTAGTGGCCTGTAGGCCTGGAACATCTTTCATGATGGCACACAGGTAAAAGGCTCAAAAAGATACGCATCAACCGTGCAAAGTCAATTTTCCTTTTATCTAATGAACCAACGGTAGTGCACAAAACTACAAATAACAAAATTCAATTACATATAGGGGAAACCGTAACATATATGTGAACTAGAACTGAAAACAATGAGGTCGACTTGGCTATGAACAAATGGTGACACACACAAGTACAAAAACAATTTTACTTTTCATAGGGCTAATGAATGCGCCGTAACATATGAAACCAAAAGCAATTTCATTAAAAGGTCAATCAACATCATCTAGCACTTATGAACAAACAGTAACTGTCTAATGGACACCGAAAATGGACAAAAAATTTAGTTTCCATGCAATGCTTACAAAAGAACTGTAAGCATGAAGCTACAAATGACAAAAAAAAAAGTACCCAGCTCCACTATAACATACAAAACTAGAACACAAATGGTAACACAGTTATTGGCTTGATTGTATCTGAACACATGCACCCCCGAAATCAAGACTTAAGATTGGCATACGTGCCAATTATTGATATCCTACCCAAGCATTCATAACCAGCAGCTCTACCGGATATCGCGTGCCAACCGAGTTATAAGCAATCCATTCAATGCATCTATCCTGAACAACATCCAAAAATGGTAGTACTACAAATTCTCATGATTGCTATTGTCTGCACGATCAGAAGAATGCCATGCATGAAAATGGAAAAATGAGTTTGAGCAAGGGCTTTACTGATGACTGGAAGATCCATCTCCAGGCCGATGAGCTCGAGGAGCTTGAAGCCGTCCATGTTGGGCTTGGGCATGGCGACGTTGCTGATCACCAGGTCGAACTGGTTCCCGTCCTTCCTCTCCCTTAGCATGTCCAACGCCGTCTGGCCGTTCGTCACCATTGTCGCTACGCAGCACCACCAGAATCCAACCGTAAAAACAAAATCACCCAAAAAAAATTCATCGTCTGGCCTAAAATTGTATCACGACGGAATCGGATGGAAATAGGGGCGGCTAAGAAGGCAAGAACACACACCGTCAGAAGTTGCAATACTTCAGCTGCCTCTCTAGGAGCTTGCAGCAGACGCGGTGGTGTTCGACGGCGAGCACACGTAGCCCCGCTGGGAAGGTGTCTGCGTCCATCTCTTCCCCTGTATCGAAACGAACACGATCAGTTCCAAGAAAGCAAACCGCCGACCACCAAATCCCAGCAAGGAACCCGAGAAGACTCGAAATTTCTTACCTGCTGCAATGTCTTCCGTCGGCGTCCAAGAACCTCCGGGGAGCAACAGAGACAGAGGAAAAAGCGAAGTGACTAAGTGAGAGAGGCGATTTCCGGGTGAAGAGCAATGCAGCGAGTGCGAGGGGAAGGGGGGATTTATAGCAGGGGCAAGGAGGATTGGGGGAGGAGCGGGGATCGGAATGCAGGCGGCTGCAAAGATGGAAGGTGTTCATCCTTGCGATGTGGAATTTCCCTAGCATTAATTCCTGCCTTCAGTTACCCTCTGCTTCCACCACCAGACTTGCTGGCTTGTTCGTCGCTTGTGTGCTCTGGCTGCCTTCAGTTTCTTGATGGATGGAAAACCAGCCAAACCTCCCTAGAATCGCCCACGGTTTAAGCCCATGGAGCTTCTAGGTCTGCAGCGGCCGGACTCACCCGTCTTGGCCGCCGGTCCCGACGGAGGAGCCTCCCGAGACGTGGATTCGCCGGCCATGGCGTAGGCGACGCAATTGGAGAGCGTCGACCTGCTTTCACGAGACGAGAATCTCCATCCCCACCTATCTATCGGCAACCCAATTGGGTTTCTGACTTTCTGTTGCTGCGTCTGCTGCACGGAGGTGCCGGCGAGGGAGGCGAGGGGATCGTGGAATGGCAAGCGCCGCTGACCAGGTGTCGTCCACGCCGGTCAAACTGCGCATATCTTTAACTCGTTTGTTTATTATTAATATTATATTATTATATATGGTATATATATATATATATATATATATATATATATATGTATAATATACGTTCAAAAAAATATTTATTTCATACGTTGATAAAATATTATATATGTATAAAAAATAAACATGGAGTTAATGAATATATTTATAATCTTTATATCTCTATTTTTTCTCTATCTCTATCTTTGTTCTATCTCTGTCCATCTATCTATATCTATATCTATACACTTGTATATAAATAAAAATAAAAAGACTTTAAAGTCATCGTCGAGGCCCTGTTCCTGCCATTTGGGCCCGAGGCCATGCCAGGCACGTGGACAAGAAGGAAGCCACTGCCAAAGAACCGTAAGCAGCTTCTGAAGCTTCAGTCCTTAACAAACTGCCTTGACCAATGAGGCAACGACTAAGACATGCATGCATGAGAAAGGAGTAAGTGGCCAGTTGATGACTGTCTATATAAAAAGACATCTGGGCATCACTAAGGTCGACACACAAAACACAATTTGCCATTAGACATTAGTCTTAGCGAGCTACAGTAGTAACCATGAGTACATGAAAACTAGCTAGGCTAGCTAGGAACCGAAATGGAGGACTATGATCTCTTGTTTCTGTGCTCTACTCTGCTGATGTCCTAGAAAATTCCTCAATTTTCTTTGATTTTACATCAGATCATTTACCCGATGCAACGCACGGGCATTACTCTAGTATAAATAAAAATAAAAAGACTCTAAAGTCATCATCTACTCGGTGATACCAAATCTTATCCCTGCTCACGCGTCCGTGTCCGATATGAATCATACTTCACTAAGTGCTCACATGTCCGCGTCCTACGCGGTTCTAATACGAAGACCAGATCCACGTGTCCATGTCCGATATGAAGTCCTTGAGCTCACACGCCCGCTTCCGGTCACTAAGGTTCAATTCAAAAAAAATTACCGGTGCAACGCACTGGCATATATCTAATAAATATAATAAGACTCCAACATAGTGGTTTTGATCACAAAAGCCTGAAAGGATTGTTTCATTAAAAAAACGAAAGAAAGTTATGAGATTTATTTTTCCTATATGTGAATGCCCCTATATACTCTTGACGTTGTTTCAAATTAGTTGTATGTATGGATTTGTTACATCGGTGACTTCCTTTATCTTCAAAAGATACCTTGAGGGAACAAAGACTATAAATTATTCATCCAATTCATTCTACTCTAATATGTTTGGACTTCTATATGCACATGCGGAAACATGTCGATTATAACAACAGATAAATGCAATTGCTAAATCGGTGATAGAGCTCCAAGCCAACCCATGTTGCACAGCTCAGAGATACGAATCAATCAGTTGACTGTGCTCAAGGCACAACAAGCTAGGCAGTACAAACTAAGGTACACGATTTGTTTATTCTGTCAATGGTATTGTTTATTTTCTTTAGGATAAATATTTTTGGAGTACATATTATGTCCTGGCATAGCTTTAACTTCAAGATCCATAGAGGAATTGAGTTTGTAGGATAAATAAAATAGTTTAAATATATATTCATTCTAAATTACTAACAAAAATTGCTTAATCAAATGTCTTCATCATCCCCATAAGTCTATAGCCCCAAAGATTTTTAGATCTATGAATGACCAACTCCAAGAATTATTGGAGCTAGAAGCCTAGAACTATGCCAAAATGGGTCCTATAGCTCAAAGGCAATGTAAGGATCATTGCAACAATGTATCTACAATTTGCTCCAATATCCATCCTAGAAGTTGTTGCATGGAGAACATCTTCCCAATGAAAGATCTTGTCACTAACACTACAAGGTTCTACCTCTAATGCCACGCCACATGATTGGAACACCACTAATTTGGTTGCCATAGGTGGGTCGTATTGCAACATTTCCATAAAATGGTTGCAATATGTGCCTATAATGCAACGGACTAAATTTGTTGCAATATGTGTGGTTTGTCGTTGCAACAGGCTTGTGCTACTGCAACCATTTAAGAATTGTGTTGCAATTAGTTGGCATTATTGCAATGGCACTTTTGAGTTGCAATAGTATTGGTTTTCGTTGCAATTACTTGTTATTGCAACTATATTGAATTTGGTTGCTTTTGCCTGTAACTATTACCACGGTTATTATGGGTTGCAATAATGTTCCATGGTGTTGCAATTGCTAGGGTGGTTATTGCAACAAGATTTCCGAATGGATGCAATAGCATGTTTCTATTGCCATGGTTTTCTGGGGTTGTAATAATTTTTGTGGTGTTGCAATTGTTAAGTACTTATTGCAACTACAATCCTAAATGGTCGTAATATCATGTTAATATTACCACGGTTTTTTGTGTTGCTATAGGCTACCGCTGATGCAACGGCCTAAAAGTGTTGCAATATACAAAATTGGTTGCAATATACAAAATGCTCCACGCATTAGACTACCCCTGATGCAACGGCCTAAAAGTGTTGCAATATACCAAAATGGTTGCAATAGACAAAATGCTCCACGCATTTCTGAATATTGTATTCTATTGACAAAAAAAATGTTCCACAGAGGATTTGATCCCAAGAACTAAAGTACAAGCAAACACTCATCTACCACTGGGCTACTAAGGTGTGTTCGACATTAAGCCGCCTTTATATTACTTGTTTACATGATGAAGATGGCTAATTCACTTCATATGTCAACAAGGACGATAACCATCCGCATCTTCCATGACAATTTCAGAAAACAAAAAAATTGTCTAGCTTGCTGATATTTGTGCTTATGATAGAAAACAAACATGAGTACAACAGTTTAAAGACCAACTGCAGCTATTCATTATCCTGGACAATGAGATTGTTTTAAAAAAATCCAGAAAAAACATCACTGTTGTACAAAGGATAAGTATTTAAACAAAGAAATCATCTTCTATGCTTTCTACCGCAACTGGTGCAACAACTCCAACTCCATCGTCAATGTAGGTGTCATCTTCAGCATCATCATCCTCATCAAGTAAGACTGCATCATCTGGTTCGAGAACTGCTTCGCCACGCACCTGATTAATAACAGAGGCATCACCAGTTGTGCCTTCCTTGTCTGGTCTTGTCCAATTTGACAAATCCTCATTTGGGCCTAATAGATTCATGTCTTGGATTCCCACATCAAGTAGATTGACTTCCATGTCACCCTCATTTTTTGCTTCTAGCATGGCAAACAAATTTCTTGGTCTCACTGCAACAACACTAGACCATCCTGGCTTGTTCACGAGGTTGACAAAAAACACCGGTTTGGCCTGTGTTGCCAGAATGTAAGGTTCATTTGAATATCTAAACCTGGAAGTATCGATATCGATAACACCATATTTATCCCTACTATATCCTCTACTTCTGCTGGTACCGGCAGCCGACACATCATACCAATCACACTGAAACAATAAAACTTCTTTTTGTGCAGGGAACTCGAGTGAGATCATTCTTCTAATCACTCCATACTAGGTCATGTTGCCAGTAGTACCATCACCCCTCACAAGCACACCACTGTTGTGTGACGAGGTTTCTCTCAATGGTAGTCATTCAAAATAGCCAGTTATTGATGTAGCATCTATTGAACACACGAGCTCGATGGTCCCGTCCTTGAGAAAGGGCATACATAAGTTCACTTGCTTCACCTTTCTCGTATAGTTTGGTGATCTGCAAACACAATTTGAAAACAAATGTCAGTTAATAAGTACATCGTTCTAACGATCACATGGAATAAAAAATTTAAAAATAGAACTAACCTTGCCCTCGAACCACCTTACAAAGTGCTCCTCGTGTCGTTTATTAAGATTCCTTATACTATTTTTTTAGTTCTTCCATGTGCTTGCTGCATTGAAATAGCCAATTAATTAATTAGTTGATGCCAGAAACAAAAAGTAGATTAATTAATGATGGTATATTGCAACTTACTCGACCCATGGTCTGGCTTCATCGCAGTTACTAATTATGTAGTGCC